TACAGGGTGTATATATGGGTAGAGTATAATTATAAGGGTTGTGTACAGGGTGTATATATGGGTTGTATACAGGGTGTATATAAGGGTTGTATACAGGGTGTATATATGGGTAGAGTATAATTATAAGGGTTGTGTACAGGGTGTATATATGGGTTGTATACAGGGTGTATATAAGGGTTGTATACAGGGTGTATATATGGGTAGAGTATAATTATAAGGGTTGTGTACAGGGTGTATATATGGGTTGTATACAGGGTGTATATAAGGGTTGTATACAGGGTGTATATAAGGGTTGTATACAGGGTGTATATAAGGGTTGTATACAGGGTGTATATAAGGGTTGTGTACAGGGTGTATATATGGGTTGTGTACAGGGTGTATATAAGGGTTGTGTACAGGGTGTATATTAGGGTTGTGTACAGGGTGTATATATGGGTAGAGTATAATTGAGCTGCACCACTACATGTCACATCTACCTTTAAGAAAAGATAAAAAGAAAAATTACAAAATCAAATGTCCAGACAAGAACAAGCGCCACCGTGCATACTATACAATGTGTGAGGAAAGGTGTAAGGCAACAAGGGCGACACCATGCCAACCACTACAGTATAACAGGTACTTCATCACCAATACAGTATATCTCCTAATTACCTATCATTTCATACAACAATTTTATGTCATGAGCTAAAGGTGCTATATGATATTTTTGTTGGAATGTCCACAAACAATACTGGTACAATAGCATGACAGAAGTGTTGGTTGCCATGGGAATATATAACAAAGGTCAAGGTTAGACACTTCCACAGGTCAGCTAACAATAGGAGCATGGCGATGGCTGGGGTGTGCACATTCAACTCTACTTTACCACCTCTCATCCACACTCCGCTCCAATATATCTAGAATTTATTTCAGTCTTTTTAAATTTATGTCTGTTTTCTAATGGTTGTAACTTTTGACCTTCCAACATTTTCTGACACTGGTAAAATATTCTATAAATAAAAAACAATATGACAGGTTCCAATAGTTTTTGTAACAACATTTCGATTGTTTAGACAGGTTTCCCAATTTACACATTGTTTGGATAACACTGGTTTCCTGTTTACACATGGTTCAGATTAGACAGGTTTCCTATTTACACATGGTTTAGATTATCCAGGTTTCCTGTGTACATATTGCTTGAATTAGACAAGTTTCCTGGTTAAACATTGTTCAGATTAGACAGGTTTCCAGCTGTTAACACATTGCTTAGATTTGACAGGTTTCCTGTTTACACAGGGTTTGGTTTTGACAGGTAGTTAAACTACTTTTCTAAGAGATAAAGTCTAGTGTCTTGGAGCATGTGGATGACAGGTTATCACTTACCCAGAATTTCTTCTTCATTTCCTGCATAGACTGCATGTGTGTGAGAAAAACGGTAAGACTCATGCATGTGCCTGACGTCTCAAACACCACCTGCACACAAATCTCTACAACCTACCTAAGCCCTCAGTTTTGTTGTCATTCAAAGCCAGCTCCATACAAAATTTACATTTCATACAGGGATTTTTGTACTTCCCAACACATATATTAGTATTGTTAATATTTATAACATTGATGGGTATCTATAAAACACACCAAAGTTAACTTCCATGTGCACCAAACTTTGAAATGTGCATGAATATAAGAAGTAGCTTCAATTGTAAAAAGTGTTTTTAGATCGATAAAATTAGTAAAGAGAAGGCATGCATCAACCTAACAGCTAAAAAAGAAAAAAGGTAAGGTTTTCTCCTGTTTATATTACAAACTTAAATCATCTACAGAGATGTGGATTTCTCCTGTTTCTATTACAAACTCAAATCACCTTTAGAGATGTGGATTTCTCCTGTTTATATTACAAACTTAAATCACCTACAGAGATGTGGATTTCTCCTGCTTATATTAAAAACTGAAATCACCTTTAGAGATGTGGATTTCTCCTGTTTATATTACAAACTTAAATCACCTACAGAGATGTGGATTTCTCCTGTTTATATTACAAACTTAAATCACCTACAGAGATGTGGATTTCTCCTGTTTATATTACAAACTCAAATCACCTATAGAGATGTGGATTTCTCCTGTTTATATTACAAACTTAAATCACCTACAGAGATTTGGATTTCTCCTGTTTATATTACAAACTTAAATCGCCTACAGAGATGTGGATTTCCCCTGCTTATATTACAAACTTAAATCACTCGCAGAGATGTGGATTTCTCCTGTTTATATTACAAACCTAAATCACCTACAGTGATGTGGATTTTCCCTGCTTATATTACAAACTTAAATCACCTACAGAGATGTGGATTTCTCCTGCTTATATTACAAACTGAAATCACCTACAGAGATGTGGATTTCTCCCGTTTATATTACAAACTGAAATCACCTACAGAGATGTGGCTTTCTCCTGTTTATATTACAAACTTAAATCACCTACAAAGATGTGGATTTTCCCTGCTTATATTACAAACTTAAAACACCTACAGAGATGTGGATTTCCCCTGCTTATATTACAAACATAAATCACCTACAGAGATGTGGAATTCCTAAACAAATTAAAGGGAACATTAGTTTGTAGGAAGTTGACACTCAATACTGTCTGGTGTATCATACATATACTTATGTCTGTAGGACGTTGACACTCAATACTGTCTGGTGTATCATACATATAGCTATGTCTGTAGGAAGTTGACACTCAATACTGTCTTGTGTATCATACATATACTTATGTCTGTAGGAAGTTGACACTCAATACTGTCTTGTGTATCATACATATACCTATGTTTGTAGGAAGTTGACACTCAATACTGTCTGGTGTATCAGACATATACCTATGTCTGTAGGAAGTTGACACTCAATAATGTCTGGTGTATCATACATATACCTATGTCTGTAGGAGGTTGACACTCAATCTGTAGGAAGTTGACACTCAATACTGTCTGGTGTATAATACATATACCTATGTCTGTAGGAAGTTGACACTCAATAATGTCTGGTGTATCATACATATACCTATGTCTGTAGGAGGTTGACACTCAATACTGTCTGGTGTATCATACATATACCTATGTCTGTAGGACGTTGACACTCAATACTGTCTGGTGTATCATACATATACCTATGTTTGTAGAAAGTTGACACTCAATACTGTCTGGTGTATCATACCTATACCTATGTCTGTAGGAAGTTGACACTCAATAATGTCTGGTGTATCATACATATACCTATGTCTGTAGGAGGTTGACACTCAATACTGTCTGGTACCTATACCTATGTCTGTAGGAAGTTGACACTCAATAATGTCTGGTGTATCATACATATACCTATGTCTGTAGGACGTTGACACTCAATACTGTCTGGTGTATCATACATATTCCTATGTCTGTAGGAAGTTGACACTCAATTCTGTCTGGTGTATCATACATATACCTATGTCTGTAGGACGTTGACACTCAATACTGTCTGGTGTATCATACATATCCCTCTGTCTGTAGGAAGTTGACACTCAATACTGTCTGGTATATCATCCATATACCTATGTCTGTAGGAGGTTGACACTCAATACTGTCTGGTGTATCATACATATATCTATGTCTGTAGGAAGTTGACACTCAGTACTGTCTGGTGTATCATACATATACTTATATCTGTAGGAAGTTGACACTCAATACTGTCTGGGATATCATACATATACCTATGTCTGTAGGAGGTTGACACTCAATACTGTCTGGTGTATCATACATATACCTATGTTTGTAGGAGGTTGACACTCAATACTGTCTGGTGTATCATACATATATCTATGTCTGTAGGAAGTTGACACTCAATACTGTCTGGTGGATCATACCTATACCTATGTCTGTAGGAAGTTGACACTCAATGCTGTCTGGTGTATCATACATATACCTATGTCTGTAGGAGGTTGACACTCAATCTGTAGGAAGTTGACACTCAATACTGTCTGGTATATCATCCATATACCTATGTCTGTAGGAGGTTGACACTCAATACTGTCTGGTGTATCATACATATTCCTATGTCTGTAGGAAGTTGACACTCAATTCTGTCTGGTGTATCATACATATACCTATGTCTGTAGGACGTTGACACTCAATACTGTCTGGTGTATCATACATATATCTATGTCTGTAGGAAGTTGACACTCAATACTGTCTTGTGTATCATACATATACCTATGTTTGTAGGAAGTTGACACTCAATACTGTCTGGTGTATCCTACATATACCTATGACTGTAGGAAGTTGACACTCAATACTGTCTGGTATATCATCCATATACCTATGTCTGTAGGAGGTTGACACTCAATACTGTCTGGTGTATCATACATATACCTATGTTTGTAGGAGGTTGACACTCAATACTGTCTGGTGTATCATACATATACTTATATCTGTAGGAAGTTGACACTCAATACTGTCTGGGATATCATACATATACCTATGTCTGTAGGAGGTTGACACTCAATCTGTAGGAAGTTGACACTCAATACTGTCTGGGGTATCATACATATACCTATGGCTGTAGGAAGTTGACACTCAATACTGTCTGGTGTATAACACATATACCTATGTCTGTAGGAAGTTGACACTCAATACTGTCTGGTATATCATACATATACCTATGTCTGTAGGAGGTTGACACTCAATACTGTCTGGTGTATCATACATGAGCCATACCTAGGTTTGACAAGCTCAGTAATGTTAGTTATAATATGAAAATGTTGTGGTACCAAAGTTTGGTCAATAGCAAGCAAAAAGCCATCTTTGACTTAGTTAAAGCAGAATGAATGCAGACCACACAAAGTTCTACAATTTCTTGGTTAACAAAATGCAAACATAACTTGATGGAACACACAATGCTTATATCAGTTTGCTTATATCCATTCATCAACCCAACCATTCACAACAGACATTTTTATCCCTTCACAGAAAAACTATCAGTTTTGTACTACCCAGGTAAAGACTATACCACAGCTGCCATTGATGATGGTGAGGAGACGGAGCAGTGTTAACATAAGTGTTTCCATACTGCTGAGTTTGTAACATTACCAGGTAGGTTAACTGTCTGGTTGTACTCACAGAGTACTTATATGGTGAAAACCAAACAGAAAGTACTGCTGTGAAATTACACTGTAGACAGTGCATTGGACACATTCATCAAATAAATATAAAGACCTCGTCAACAGCTACATTCTTTTCTGACAATTATACTTTCTAAAAGTTCTAACATGTTTCTTGTGTATGGTTGAGCTGAACATATATTTGAGAATAGTGGACAGATAGTCAAGCTGGCATGATAACTACTAGATCATGTCATGGATGAGTGTTAGAGTGAAGTAAAACACAAAAAAGTTATCATGATAAAAGAGACATAAAAAGTTGCAGTTATCCTTTTTATCTATATATCTTCCGACACATGTGAAAAATCTTCCTTTCCAAACTCACTAACCTTTGTATGTTCAGCCAGACTGTCCATAGTGCCTGCTGGAATGAAGGATGACCGGCGCCCCTGGGTTGTGGTCAGTTCTGCCACACCACTAGTGGCAGACTGCTGCTGCTGTTGGGCCTTGTTGAGCGTGTTCACCATCAACTGCATAACTGTCTCGTGGACACAGAGGGCTCGCATCAGATCAGGGTGCTGGAAAAACACTTTGTTGTCCATCAGGTCCCTGTGCGAACAGTCAATTACAGTTATAAAACTTAGATCCTTGTAGTTGTAGAATATCTCCTTAATGTAGTCTACTACATCAGATAAGGTTTAGACGTTCTCTTCCCTATTGTATGGTGTACTGGACAAGATTTCCGGTACTCCCCTATTGCCTAGTTCACTCGACGTGATCTAGAGGCTCCCTTGCTAGTTGTAAATTGGTATAATTGGATAAAATTTTGGTAAGCATTATACTTATTGTGTGGTGTTATAGTCCATCGACAATTGAAGTCATTTGGACCCAATTTTATTTAAAAGTTGGACTCATGTTTCTATGAGTGTAGAAATACAATACCTCCTCACATAAACACACAGCTTATTAACTGTATGGTTATACTATGACTACCCAGACAGACTCACTTAAGGCTGTTCTTCATAAGCTCTTCCTCGTCAGGGCCAGCCTGCACCAAAAGAAGGGCACGGATGTTTCCCAGGGAGTGCAGTAACTGGTCGATGTCGTCCTTACTCCCACTGCTGATTACATACGCTTTCTCCATGGCTGTCCTCAACTATAACCAGAATACATCATATTATTGAACATAGGCCCGACTTAAGGTCCATCGAAAGATAAAGTTAAAACTTAAAAACAGTTTGAGGTGAGTTTTGATTAGTTCCTCACTCGATCTCAGGGATTTCAAAACAAATCCGGTAATAGTGTTCTGTGTTTTAGAGATATATATTTACTACATCTGTAAATGTCTTATTGTGTTTCAAACTGACAAATCTTTAGAATCTACATTATTAACCGTTTTGTTTCCATGAATTGACCTTGGAGTTGAGTTCACATTGATAGTGGCCATTTGTGACTAAAAAATATTTTTTATGTTTGAATGAAAATGGATTAAGCAAGTAAAAACAGTGAATTCCAGACCACCAGACTGATTGTTACTTCTACCCTTTCATTTAATGTAAAACTTAAAATCTACCTCTTTGTTTATCATCCAAATGTGTGATACCAGATACGTACCTCTCCAATACCATCATACTGGCGATGTAGTAGACCGAACATTTCTCTGACCAGGTCCTGGTTTGTCATGAACGATTCCTCCGCCCACGAGATCATGGTAGTCTGTATCAACTTCTGAAGACTGTCTGTAATTGACCAATCAAATCATGTGTCATATTGTATACAGCTTTAAATGTTAAATAGTGTTTGGCTGATGTGAATAACATACTTATAATTATGTTTTCATTCTCTAAAATTGATCATTAACATAGAAAAGAATTGAATGAAGCTGTAATTAGAAATAATATGAAATATAAAGAATAGGTACATTTTAAGGAAACTAGACAAAACCGTGTTAGATACGCTTCTTTGCAAACAAAACAGGCATTGCTAAGCAGCTAGATAAAATAGAGATAACACAACAACTTCACAACAATATCTAAACTATTCACCAGTTATAGCTAAAACATGTAATGTTAATCAACTCTCTACTGTCTTCTCCAATTTTCAGATGATTGCCCTTTTCAACAAACATCTTCCTATTCATGCAATCCACACTGCATAGCTTCGGTCTATACTATACCACACTGCATAACTTCAGTCTATACTATCCCACACTGCATACATAAATGTAGCTTCAGTCTATACCATCCCACACTGCATAACTTCAGTCTATACTATCCCACACTGCATAGCTTCAGTCTATATTATCCCACACTGCATAGCCTCAGTCTATACCATCCCACACTGCATAGCCTCAGTCTATACCATCCCACACTGCATAGCTTCAGTCTATATTATACCACACTGCATAGCTTCAGTCTATACCCTCCCACACTTCATAGCTTCAGTCTATACTATCCCATACTGCATAGCCTCAGTCTTTACTATCCCATACTTCTTAACTTCAGTCTATACTATCCCACACAGCATAGCCTTAGTCTATACTATCCCACACTGCATAGCCTCAGTCTATACTATCCCACACAGCATAGCCCCAGTATATACTAGCCCACACAGCATAGCCTCAGTATATACTATCCCACACAGCATAGCCTCAGGATATACTATCCCACACTGCATAGCCTCAGTATATACTATCCCACACAGCATAGCTCCAGTCTATACTATCCCACACTGTATAGCCTCAGTATATACTATCCCACACTTCTTAACTTCAGTCTATACTAACCCACACAGCATAGCCCCAGTATATACTATCCCACACAGCATAGCCTCAGGATATACTATCCCACACTGCATAGCCTCAGTATATACTATCCCACACTGCATAGACTCAGTCTATACCATCCCATACTGCATAGCTTCAGTCTATACCATCCCACACTGCATAGCTTCAGTCTATACCATCCCATACTGCATAGCTCCAGTCTATACTATCCCACACTGCATAGCCTCAGTATATACTATCCCACACTTCTTAACTTCAGTCTATACTATCCCACACAGCATAGCCCCAGTATATACTATCCCACACAGCATAGCCTCAGTATATACTATCCCACACAGCATAGCTTCAGTCTATACTATCCCACACAGCATAGCTCGAGTATATACTATCCCACACTGCATAGCTTCAGTCTATACTATCCCACACAGCATAGCCTCAGTATATACTATCCCACACAGCATAGCTCCATTCTATACTATCCCACACAGCATAGCCCCAGTATATACTCTCCCACACAGCATAGCCTCAGGATATACTATCCCACACAGCATAGCCCCAGTATATACTCTCCCACACAGCATAGCCTCAGGATATACTATCCCACACAGCATAGCCTTAGTCTATACTATCCCACACAGCATGGCTTCAGTCTATACTATTCCACACAGCATAGCTCCAGTCTATACTAGCCAATTCAGCATAACTCTGGTCTATACTATCATAGCTCACTAAGCACTATCAATTCTATGTATTCTAGTTTGGTTAGTTTTACATGGTTCAACTCTGCAGTAATGATCTCTGTTTCATCATCTAGAAAATGCTACTAACGACATATTAAGAAAGAGCTCACCAAGAACAGAAGAAATTTGTAGATTGTACTAATTTCCATTGAGATATTTTGTGTACACCTGCAGCAAAGCTTAGGGAAATTCTGTTTGGTCTACACAGGTAAGACTTAAATAAAGAGGTCGGAGCTTTTTTTGGAAAGTTAAGCACCATTGTATACGTCAATCCAGAACAAAGTGTAAAATATCTACTAAAATAAACTGTTTAATTTTTCTATTGCAGATTAAATTTTTTAACACATGCTAATGTTGAAATGTGATATGAAAAAGAAATTCACATTTTGATAATTAAGACAGTTCAGACTCAATTTTTAGGGTGCTTTTCTATAAGGTGCAAAAATATAGTTTTCTAGATAAGAAATATGAAAATAGAGAAAGACATATTATTGAAATCTTTACTTGGTATCAGTGAAAATTTGCATCTAGCTTTTGAAAGTGACACTATTTCTTTGAGAAAAAGCCAATGTGAAATACCAGTGCAGGTGCATAAGTGAAGCTCCAGGTGATCCAAGCCTTTGATTGAAGTTGGGTATAGAGTCCAAGCCTTTGAATGATCAAGACAGCAGTGTTGATAATTCATCAAAGCAGGTGCAGAGTTGGCTCTCTAATCACAAAGCTAGCTTGCTGCTGGCCAGCTGACTACCACTATGCCTAAGGCGTGCGATGAGTACACAAAATCGCTGTGAAAACACACATGCATTACCTATCTTACCATCCGTCGGCTGGGATACTTCTGGCTTCTGCTCCTCCTCCTTTGACTTCCATACCAACTTAAGGAGTTTCTCTCCCACAGTAGAAGATGGTTGTGCCACCTGTTCCTCTGGTGACATCTCCCCACCCTCATTGTCCTCTGGCTTGGTAGGCATGGCGCAGTGATTGAGCAGGTTTTCATGGAAAGTCACCAGTCTGTCCTTCAGGTCTTCTCGGCACGGACAAGGCATGTTAGGGTCAGCATCTTCCTCAGTCTTGAAGGCCAGCAAGTTCCTCATCTAATGGAGTCAAACACCCAGTAAAGACAAAGATATATTAAGAGCTACACGTACAAGCTTCAGATGTTTATAGAATACAGACCCTGGTTTATCCATGTTTCTGCTTCAAACAATACAACCATAAAACCTACAGGTAATTAAGATTTATTATGTGATATCAACGCACAGCCTGTGGTCAGCATAATTGACAACTATGTATGCTGTCTAGGAAACAAATTGGGGAATATATTTTTTGTTTTGTTTAAGGCTAAACTTCTGTATCTTTCAAGATAGCTCAATGAAATGTTGAGGATAAATGTAGGATGGCAAGGAGGTGTATCGCAAACCACAATTGGATCTGTAAACTCAAGGTCAAAGTCACATTGAAGTCAATGGTCAAATAAATTCTCTGGGCCATAACTTTTAAATTTCTGAAGATAACTCAATCAAATTTTTAAATTTATTAAATGTGTAGGATGGCTAGAGAGTTTGTCTTGTACCACAACTGATTCAATAAGCCCAAGGTCAAGGTCACTTATGTGACCTTATTAGACAGGTTTAACACTACATGTATATATTTGTATATTACTATATTTATACCGACAAGTAAAGCACATAACATCCAGTAAGCAATGTGTAATGAATGCACCTTTATCTTTATTCCAGTATTAGTGACATTTTCTGGGAGCATTCTAATTTTCTTGTTCCTACCTGTTCATGAGGTGGACATCGGAACTCTTTGGTGATCCTGGCTGTTACAGCAGATGACAGATTGGACTGTTTGATTTCCTGGTATCGCCTCAGCTGATCCTGTACAATACCAGGCAGTAGTTTTCATTAGTCTAACATAACTATCACTTCTACATAGAAAGCCAACGCTAAAGAGATCTCAGCTACATTTTTATAAGTCAACCAATAACAACTCAATTTAATTCAAGTATTTAAATTGCAATTTCACTTTTTTTTTCTTTAAGGCCCGGTCACACAGCCCTCCACGGGCGTATCGCGGCCGAATCACGGCCAAAAATTTCTGCCCGTGAAGCAGACGCTGTTGGACGTTTTGAGGTCGCGATAAAGACGCGATACAGCCGTACTTTACCCGTCGTTACACGCGGTAAGAAATTCACACGCGGTTGGCCGCGCGAAAAAGTTTTGGGCTGCCCAAAAATTTAGACCGCGGGTAATCGGGGGCGGTACACGTGGTACACACGCGGTAAAGACGCGGTACAGACGCGGAACGAACGTGCTAGGACGTGCTACGGCCGCGGTTAAGACGTGGTTACACGCGGTAGGACGCGAAATTTTAGCGGGTAATCGCGGGTGGAGCACGGTCATAGCACGTTTGTTCCGCGTCTGTACCGCGTTGTTATCACGTGCATTAGCGTGTGTACCGCGTGTAAACACGGACAAACGCCTTTCTCCGCGTAAACAGCGCGCCCCAATACCGGCCTAATCACGTTCAATTGCGTCTTGTACACGTCCCAAATACGATTGTCCACGGCCTAATCGCGTCCGTACAACGTCTGATTTTAGGTATATAAAAAGCGCGATTTGCCGAGCATTCGTCAGTTGTGCTCCAGACGTCAAGGGGTGAACATGGATCCCCGTCACCGTAATGACCTCGTCTTGCTGCTCCAGCAGCATCAGAACCAAGTGTCTTGAGCGGTTATGATTTCTACAGCCCGGTTCGGCTGCTTTATTATACCCGTGGTAGGCCGCGGTACCGCCGCGCTTCACCCGCGATAAGGACGCGGAACAGTCGCCGGCGTCTGTTCCGCGGGCATACCACGGGTAAACCGCGGGTAAGCCAATTTTGCACATTTTCCACCACGGGCAACCGCGGGCAAAAAAAAATCGCGAAATTTTACCCGCGATACAGACGCGAAAGGCTGTGTGACCGGGCCTTTAAACCACTGACCAAAATTCAGTATATGGAGATTAGAATAAAATTGCCATAAAAGCTGCTGCTGTGATTTGATTTGGTCATACTAACGTTTTGACAGTCCCCTACAAACTGGTCTGAGAAGGAGATGATGGACTCCACTCTGTGTCTCAGCTGAAGGTTACACAGGTGCTGGAGGATCCTACACATCTGTAGCAACACAAACATAATAGGTAAAATTACAGAAGAACATTGTGAGAGAAATCATTGTTTTATAAATTTAATTATTTATCTTACTTAAAACTTTCCTTCGTACTTCGAACACCCAGAAAATACTATTTCTACTCTTACATCTATAACTACCTATAATCCAATGTTACTCTTATATTACCTCTTATTACCCATAATCCAATGTTACTCTCACCTCTAATTATCCATAATCCAATGTTACTCTTACCCCTAACTACCCATAATCCAATGTTACTCTTACCTCTTATTACCCATAATCCAATGTTACTCTTACCCCTAATTACCCATAATCCAATGTTACTCTTACCTCTAATTACCCATAATCCAATGTTACTCTTACCTCTAATTATCCATAATCCAATGTTACTCACCTCTAATTACCCATAATCCAATGTTATTCTTACCTCTTATTACCCATAATCCAATGTTACTCTTACCTCTAATTTCACAGGCTCGTCCAGTTTCATTTCAAGTAATCCTGGAGTTTCAGCTGTGATAAAAATTAAACCAAACATCACAATGACATTGACATCTTCATTACAAAAGAACCATGTTGATTTTGATTAGACATGCAATCAAGAAAATAAAAAGCTGATAAAAACTGTCAATTAGATAAAATTTCTGATTTTGTTATGTCTGATTTTTTTCCACGAAATGCTTATTTCACGTGAAAATCCAGCATGATAAACCTACGATGGATATCTGGGAAGGCTATTGGATTGACCAGCTGTAGGAGCTCCAGGAGATCGTCATCCTTGAGGGAACCCATTACAAGCAGACGGTCAATGACCTTCAGCAGTGGACTGTAACAAAAAGACAACATATGAGTTTATATCTTCTACTTCTACCTTCTACCTAATAATCGACCTACTTCATCATATTGAAGATCATGTTGATGTTTGGGTTGTATGTATGTACCGGGAAAGAGAGTGAGAACAGAGCTAATTGTGTAGAGAGGAGACACGACTTTTAAAGGTTTTCAAAGTTTCCGATGAGACCAGGTCTGGTGGGAGGTTGTTCCAGTCTGGTATAGTTCTTGGAAAAACTGAGGGTCTGGGCATCAGTGATAATTATACACTATATTAAACACAGGTGACTCAAAGAAAGCCATTCCAAGATAACCCAATTAGACTGCCTTGTGATCCTGGGGTCATATTGTACAGTTGTGGGACCGCACAACGCACCAAAAATAGCGTGTGCACATTGTGCAAACATCGTGTACACACTGTCTGGACATCGTCCACACATGGTGCGACAACAGTGCGATTTCACAATCGCTCGCCCCGTTTTGCGCTTCTCTCTGCACAAATGTGCGATTTGGTAGAATTGGTTGATCAATATTACAGAATGAAAAAAATCAGGTGCCCTCGTATGGAATAAGGAACACTGTATATATCGCTCATCAAATTAAATAGGATTATGTTTAATTTTACAATGCGTGTTACACAGCATTACAGTAACCGTTAAGACTATCAAGAATGGGTTTAACTTCCAGGTAACAGAACAGGTAAATAAACATTTTTATGATTGACAGGCATTTTACCTGACCCGTGCCTTACAAAGAGTGTTGATATGTGATACAGTATGACCGTTATTAAAGCACAAATTGACATTTAGTATTTGTTATTTGCATTCGCTTTGGTCTATAGCACCCTTTCACCTGGATTTTCACACCTTGGCGAGTTATATAAGTGCCCCGGGTGTGGAAAACTACTGTCCAAGTACAGATACAAAGTGGCAATGTTTACCTGTATACGTGACTGTGTCAATATGTGTATGTGCTATATTACATGTGTCTATTTGGGTCCCCTAAAAAACACCAAAAACACAATTTCAAAATTAAGAAAATATAGATAGAAAGACCAGCTGATATATGTAGCTAGAATATAGAAATATACTTAAAAATCAAGCATATATGTTTTATCAAGAGGCCGTATTTATTGTTAAGCCATTTCTCAATTTACACCAACCACGATTGTCATCGCACAACGTTTGTCCATTGTCCGCACAAATGTGCGCAAGCAATAAACATCCAGGTTTCAATCGTTTGCACATCGTGCATCCATCGTGCACACTCTGTGCGGTGTGTGCACACATTGTGTAACGTTGTGCATAATTCCCACAACTGTATTACTTTGAGATGAGGGATTGGTACTTACACAAAGAGATTGGCATTACTGCCACCAATAGGATCCCTGACATGAGCACCACCATTTTGTACAGCTTCCTTGACTGCTTTCATCACAAAGAACTTCAGTTTCTCCATGGGGAAGAAAGGTGCGGTGCAATCCTTGCCTCCACCCTTCGTTCTACAAAATAATACAGTAAACAACATGAAACTGTTGTCATGCTTTCAATTCTACATTAGTGTACTACCTAGTTGCTCGTTATTATCTCTAAATAATTTCTCTTTAGGTCAATCAGTCGAGCAGTGGCTCAGTAATCTGTAGCTCAGGGGTTTGACTACTTAATGGAGGTATTACAATATAATGGCCCCTGTTACATTAATCTTCATCAATTTCACATGATATAAAGGATTTCCCTGAGTCTGACCTTGCTTCAATGTCCTTTTCCGAAATGGCCAGTTGAGGTCTGATGGACCTGCTGTTATCCATATTTGGGATGGTATGTTTGGTCTGGTGTAACTGCGTATCTGTACTGACAGCTCGGTACAGAGTCAACTTTGGACTTTGTGGGGACAGTGGGATGATGAACTCATTGGTCGTCCTCAGTCTTGCCTGAGCGTGTGATTCCAAGTGCATGGCGATTAGCAAGTTATGGTAGCCATTCCTTAGGGGACCGGATAAGCCTAAGAAAACAAATCATTTTGTAAACAACATAAATGTTATAATGTTAATTCACAATAATTTCATAGAGGAAAATTAATCATATAGGTTATGGTGTAACTGTGGCTGGATACGTATATAGGTAATATGACCTTGTGTCTAGATCATTCATGTCTAGAACAGATTTCCCACATGGTGAGAATGGACTGAAAGTTGGCACTTGGTTCTGTGGTGATATCACACTATACACAGCACATTACCTTTTTACTCCGAGTACTTACTCTCACTCTGTATACAGTACATTAACTGTTTTTCGTTGATGTGTTGCTGGAGGACATTGGCTACCCTGTGGTTACCATGGGAACACACACTGTTGTACAGATCCAGTGTTTTGGCATGAAAACTGTGAATAAGATGACAACAATTATAAAATGAACCATGTCAAAACCAAATACAACATAAATCAACATTTTTTGTCTGAAACCCCCCCAGTTTTTTAAATGAGATGCCAGTTACAATACCGGTTTCCATAGTGACCTGTTGAGAGAGGTTGTAACTATCAAGACTTACTCGAGCAGAGTCTTGTGCTCTATCAGTTCCAGTATGTCCAGACTGCGGTCCTCCTCAGGTACATACAGAGACATCATGCTCTCTGGGTTACTACACAGCATGCTGTAGCCACGAGTGGACATCCGTAGCGTGTGGACGTCGAGCAATGCCTGAGGGACGCGTGCCCAGCTGCTGGGTCGCAGTACCTGGATGTCAAGGCGTGACGGGCAGGCCGGCACCACTTGTTTACTGCCACGGAACACAGCTGCTGATAGGGGCAGGGTTTGCTGGGGAAGAGTGACAAATCATTTATTATTTTCAGGCATTGAACTTAAACACATCATTGTGAGATTTTTAAAAAATGTACAAGTTTGTGTTGTTTTCCTGAAATTTGATTTGGAAATCATTTTTTTTGTGTAAAATTTGTGAAAACATATGCCCAAATGTAACTTGTAATTATACTCACTTTTGTGTGCCCAAGCTCAAACTGGAGCATCTCCTTGATGGTGGGCTCACAGATCACAGCTGGGAACAGCTTGGTGCCAGGCTCCACCTGTAATATAATATATACTCTTTCATTCTCTCAATTTAATCTAGTTCCTTGAACAGAAAGTAGAAGACTCCCATTCAACCTATACATACAACTCCTATTGGACTATCAGTAAATCATACTCACCTCTTGAGCTACTGTAAACGTAAATATTTAAGAGGTAGTCTTATTTCTTTCATGGTTTGAATATTGTGCTAAATCTATAAAGCACTATTGAAGTTCATGTATGTTCTTCTCTATTGCATATTTTGAGGGTGTGCCAAATCTTCAGATATCTGATAATGTTTGACTGTGCTAAAATCAGTACATATACAGTAATATGTAGATGACCTTTCACAAGGAGGCGCCTACATAACAAATATCTTGTCTACCCTTCACAAGGAGGCGCCTACATAACAAATATCTTGTCTACCCTTCACAAGGAGGCGCCTACATAACAAATATCTTGTCTACCCTTCACAAGGAGGCGCCTACATAACAAATATCTTGTCTACCCTTCACAAGGAGGCGCCTACATAACAAATATCTTGTCTACCCTTCACAAGGAGGCGCCTACATAACAAATATCTTGTCTACCCTTCACAAGGAGGCGCCTACATAACAAATATCTTGTCTACCCTTCACAAGGAGGCGCCTACATAACAAATATCTTGTCTACCCTTCACAAGGAGGCCCCTACATAACAAATATCCTGTCTACCCTTTACAAGGAGGCCCCTACATAACAAATATCCTGTCTACCCTTTACAAGGAGGCCCCTACATAACAAATATCCTGTCTACCCTTTACAAGGAGGCCCCTACATAACAAATATCCTGTCTACCCTTTACAAGGAGGCCCCTACATAACAAATATCCTGTCTACCCTTTACAAGGAGGCCCCTACATAACAAATATCCTGTCTACCCTTTACAAGGAGGCCCCTACATAACAAATATCCTGTCTACCCTTTACAAGGAGGCCCCTACATAACAAATATCCTTTCTATCCTTTACAAGGAGCTGTTCCTACCTGGTATTTGTTGGCCACCTCTTTTCCGTTGACGGAGAAGCTAAGGACACCAGTCGATATGTCGATGTAGCAGCCGATAACAAGGCCCGGGGAGGATCGTTTAGAAGACATCTCCTGATTGGTCCCTCCATATCTCTGCTGGAGGTCACCAGCAGATACCATGTACGTATTTTTTCGGCTCACACTAAAGAAAATAATCAAATTCTTTTTAAAAACAGGGTTCTTGCATATAACAGGTTTATATATCTATTGTTATGATTTCATATAGAAAAGATAACAAAATGGTTCTGATTAAATACTTTTCGCCTACATTATATTTGATTATTTTCATTCCTTTACCTCTGTTTAATGGCATAGTTGTTATCAAGGACAGACAGGACAACATGGCGGGTCTTCTTCATCTCAAAGTTTTTCTCATTGAAGTGAAAGCCAGGAGTAACCCATCCAACAAACACCTGGGCAGGATCCTGGCCAGGGAATATCCTCACAGAGAAGTTGTACTCATCAATGGAGTCAGCAATAGCCATCAGTTCCTGAAGGTCACCTTCCGAGTTATCTGGGTCAGAGCCCTCACTTCCTGTAAAGTCACGTCCAAACATGTGTCGTTTGCCCAAGGCGTCTTGGAACTCGTAAGGAATGATCCCTCTGGGTGCCTCAATGTTGATGACTGGTCCCTGAGATGTGGGCGTTTCCCCATCTGTTGTCATGGAGTCTATTGTCTTCGATGGTGGCAGGGTTTGTGTTCGCGGCTGAGGACTTGGTTTCTTATCCTTCTGCATTTGATATCCAGGCATCTGTTTCCTGTCAAGGCTGCCGTACTCCACACTACGTGTACGTTTGGAGCCCTGTGGGGAAATATCACGAGCTTTCTTTAAGAACGCTCCAAATGGTGACTTAGATTTTTTGGCTTTCTTTTCACTAAGCTGTTTGGCAGTGTCTATGAGCTTGTCACCAAGCAGAGACAATTTGGATGATGACTTCTTTTCATCTGGGACTAGCAGACCACCACTCTGGTCACCATTAAGTTGTGACTCACTGATGGCTGTTTTGAGTCCAGTGGAGGCCCTATCATCAGGATGAGCTTCGTCCAATGAGCGCCCTCGACCGTCTGGTTTGGCGAAGTTTTTGCGACGGTTACCTGTGCGCATGTCGTCATCATATCCTCTCTGTAAAGCTGTAAAGTATAATTGGTTCACTTAGCTCATTCTTTATACGTTTTCTACCGGATATCCTTTAAACATAGAATACATTAATATCTTAATAACAGGTGTTATTTTTCATTAACATCATTTGAAAATTATAATAAGTCCGATCAATTCACCACTTACCTTTGAAGAATAGATTTGTACATATTAGTTTGTGGACATATGGCTATGTTTACAAACTTCATTGATCTCTTCAATACAGATTCTCAACGTTAACCAATACAATGCTGTTACAATACAATACGTTAACCAAGTCAACGTAACCCATACAATGCTGGCCAATCCAAATTTTCTCATACAATGCTGGCCAATCTAAATTTTCTCATACAATGCTGGCCAATCCAAATTTTCTCATACAATGCTGGCCAATCTAAATTTTCTCATACAATGCTGGCCAATCCAAATTTTCTCATACAATGCTGGCCAATCTAAATTTTCTCATACAATGCTGGCCAATCCAAATTTTCTCATACAATGCTGGCCAATCCAAATTTTCTCATACAATGTAGAACACACACCTTCAGGAGTGTCACACGGAAAACTTTGAAATAGCTTCATGCTCAACAATTCACCATGCTTATGGAGGTTAGCATTAATCCTATTTGATTTAAACTGTATAGAGCTTCCTTTTTCTTTAACCTCTAAAATGATGATAATGACAATGAGAGGAGATAAAACTTCATTAAAAGATCACAAGTTTCAAGCGTATCTTGTGTTCCTTCAGAGAATGTTCCGGCTACAGTACAATACAATGTACGACAAGTTCACAACACAGGACTACCGTTGTCTATGTCATTATTTAATCACAACACAACACAGGACTACCGTTGTCGATGTCATTATTTAATCCCAACACAGCACAGGACTACAGTTGTCTATGTCATTATTTAAGCACAACACAGTATTTCAATACAATAAAGGAAAAAGCTTTTTTATTTCTGGAAGTAGATCGAGTCTTGGATTTCCTTTTCTGGAAACAGTTTATGGGATATTGGTGACGTTAAGTAATGTAAGTAGTATACAACAGATGATACACAGAGATTTCTAGTTGACACGAGTAGTAGTATTTACATCAGATAGAATGTCTAACTAATTGAGAATTTCAACTAAACACATACAGTATATGTACTTTTTACAATAGATATGACAACTAGGTCATCAGAGATTTCCTTAACAAATATATGTGCTATTCTCCAATAGGTAGATGCTCCATCTAACCAGATATTTCCTTAACAAATATATGTGCTATTCTACAATAGGTAGATACTCCATCTAACCAGAGATTTATACACACAAGAGTAATTCAAATTATGCTTCAACCAACCAATACATGCATATATATATAATTACAAAAATTCAAACATCCTTGTGTACGAGTTATAAGAGGTAAGAATTAGCGGTTAAGGTTTACTAGGTATACGTATAACCTATAAAACCCGACTACATTACAACATCAAAAGTTGAGGACAAAATTAATTCCTTATCCTTTCTTACTCTTTCGCAGCCTGATGTCCGGACCACCATTCAGCATCCCTCTCGGAGTATAGTCATCATCATCCTCGTCTGGTGAAACCATAAGCATCGAATCAATACTTGATCTACCACATATTTATAGTGACATTATCTACCTCAGTCTTACAGTGACATTATCTACCTCAGACATAACCAGTGTTATTGTTTCTGTTAGTGCTAATTAGTATAGCATTAAATGTCAGCACTCTTTCGTTAGTGTAGAGTTTCTGTACTAGGCTTTTCTAGCTTGTACGATTAGGTCTACAATTCAGGGTTAGGTGGGACTGGTAAACTGTAGATAAAGAGAGAGGTGGGGATTATACAATCATATTGTTTGTTAGACGAAATCATACTTAGTATGTTAATATATTTCAAACTTGATAGAAGACAACACACGATGCCGATTAAACCTGTATCTGTAGAACTAGACAAGAATGTGAAATGTTTCCAATAACTTGGTGACCATTTCAAATTTCTTCTTGATCCATGAATTAAAACCATGACGCTTGGTAGAGCATTGATAGGAACCTTCAACAATGTTAGGTGGGAATTGATCTGGTAGAACTGAGAATACTCAGAAATGTCTCAACCAATCAGAGGACAAGAAGCCCACTTTGGGTTTTGAATCAATCCAATAAAATATCTGGACATAAGATAATCATTTAGTTTATTCCCGTCAAATATAAAACCATGAAATTCATTGGCCCCTTCATATATTAACCCTTATTTCCCATTCTGAGCCCTTGCCCTCCATGTCTAAGTGATCCTCTTACTTGTCTTCATGTGTAAAAAAAATGCATTCCCTTGGTCGTGGATGCTCCATGACAAACCACGTTGAGTCACAATCCCTTCAACTGTACTAGGAGAGAAGTCTTTTAAAGACAAACTCCTATATCCCTTTTAGAGCCCTTTTTGACTTGACATATACCATCAACACAAGCAACTAATATAGAAAAGTTATAAAACACAGAAACAAAATGCAACAAGGCAAATGGAACAAATCTGGAATACATCAGACAGGAAATGAACCGGAAGGTTAAATGCAAAATAATAAAAATAACTAATTTTAAGACGGATTAAGGGAAATAACTCTTCACTAAAAATATGAAGGCTTGTCTCCAGGGGGACCATCTTTCACTCATATGGCTAAGAAATGTTGGGTCTTAGGATTACTGGGATAGATAACAATCACCAAAGGGAATGGTAACTTTGATGCCACAATGACTGGGAGGGGTAACTGGGACTTACGAGAGGTTGTAGTCAGTGACTTAGAGTCCCCAGTTTGACTGAGGGATTTCTCCTCCATAGGTGTGGTATCCCCAGCATTGCCGTTGACCATTGCTGACCCCGGGAGGTCCATCCCGCCACTGCTGGTGGGACTAATATCCCCAACCCTCTGCTTACCCTCTGTGTGAAGATAAAACTGAGCATGCAGCCTCTGTGTGCCAGCAAGTCCCATTGGTAAGACGTTGTCTTTTCATCCCGTATCAGGTCAAACAATTAGTGCAAGTTTTCCAATCGCTTGGCCATACAGAATCAATTTACCAATCTAAATAATTCATCCGTTTTAACCAAATGATTTTTTTTTTAAATAACAGTATTAGAAAATACATCTAGTCTTTGTAAAACATTACTATTTCAAAGAAAAACAATATGTCTACATATACGGTTATGATATAGTATCGTGCAACATTGTGAAACTGTCTTCAGTTGTAAAAATAGGACCTGGCCAGCCCTGATCAACTGGAGCCTAGTTGTTAAGTTGACTGAGATGTTAATGTACCTATAGAGTACAGATGCTGTATAAGCCTATGTATTATTACTGATAAAGCCACTAGCCTATAAGCCACAATCCGGTCAGTAGTTCTGAGTCCATGCCAACTAACAACATACGTTAATAATCACTCCCGCAAAATTACAATCATCATCAAATTCAAAACAACTTCATCATGAAATCTTGTAATCTACTAAATTTGTTTATACATGTTCATGTATTACTTAAATCAAAGTTATGTCAGTCATATCAATGACTAAAAAGTAGAATTACATAATGGACTCAAACAGTAGAGAAATCAACATCTTATCTCAATAACTTTTATAGTAGGGAAGTTTACATCATAGTATGGCAACAACTTCATAAACTACGAAAATTTACATCAAACTTTAAACGTAACAGGACTTTTAAAATTGGAATCTTTTCTGAAACCTCAGAACGGATGAGGATATTCTAATCTTCAGACATAAACAGTGTTAAATATTTCAAACAGCGTTAGACTAGTTCCAGTTCCTATGATACAATACCTGTCTGAACGCCCTATGATACAATACCTGTCTGAACGCCCTAGCCCTAATTACCTGCTATAAGCCTGCTGCGTCGTTCCAGGGAGCCCTCGCTGATGTTAGCATCACTTGACTCCTCGCCTGGGTAGTAGTCGTGGTGATGTTCCTCCTCGATGTCCATCTCATGGTGGCGGATGTTCTCCAGGTTCATCCTCCTCTCGTAGGAGGTCGGGTAGCCACTGGAACGGTCCCTGTAAGGGTCAGAGTATTATAATAGAACATCTGTGTCTTTATTACAGCAAGAAAATGACTACGGTAAATTTAGAAGTACACATATTTATAATAACACTGCATAGTTACATTAAGTATCGAAAATTATATCAGAAGTTTCTTTAAAGTTGAAAGATTATCTGAAGATCTTGGATAAAATAACTTTTTTCCTCTGGTGAACGTAGATATAATGACCTTGGCCATTCCTCCGACGACCTTGGTTATATACCTTTATACCAAACCTTTGATAATGGTGAATGAATAAATATGTTGGCTACATTGATACTCTTCCTCACTTTGACCTTCCTCTGATGACCTACCTCGGGACAAACTGGTCATGACATTTAACAGGCAAACTAAGCCGTAGATACTCCAGGTGTACCTTCTCCAAACCACCAAACGTCTTAGACATCACCTTCAGACATGGTGTGACGTTGGCTCTGTAAACAAGATCAGTCAACTTCATACATACTAAATATGAATACTATCTGATAATATTAAGAATATTAATTCATTAGGAAAAACTATTTTTCAGAAATATATGTTTAGGTTCTGAATAAGCTTGTTTGTTTAACCTTACTCTGAGCCCATAATGCTGACCTGTTATAACCTCCTAACCTTGACCCTTTAAACCTAACCTTTGACCGTGTAACTCCCCTAACTTCTGACCCTGTTACATATAACCTCTGACCCTGTAGCACCTAAACTTTGATCCTGTAATATCTAACCTCTGACCCTAAAACACCTAACCTTTCACCCTGTATTGCTGACCCTGTAACATCTAACCTCTGACCATGTAATACCTACCCGCCTGGAATTCGCTGGACCTGTACACTTGGATGAGAGGGAGTGACAGCCTCAAACAGAGGCTGTTCTTTTCCATACCAAAGAGTCATTCTTCTTGTCATGTTCCTGGCAACATGTAAAGAAAAACATTTAAAAACAAACAAAATTTTCAGTGAAGTTTTAACAATATTTACAAAAAGTGTCTTTAAAACTGAATTAGTGATTAAACATCTGTAGCTAAGAAGAGAACAAGAGGTATACATACACACAGAATGGCTCATAGCCCTCCTGTAGACCACAGCAGGTGAAGTACTTCAACGTGTTGACATCCTGAAAGTATAAAACATTTTATGTAAACATCACAAAGGTATCACAGACAAAGAGAGGGAGAATCAACAGCAAGTTAACAACACCCAGGCAGGACAATCCTCCTTTATCTGTCTGTGGCTATACCAATAAATTAAAACAAGCTCTCTCTTTATATCAAAACCATTTAAAACTAGAAAATGTCACCATGTGAAACTAGTTTCAGTGTTTGATGTTTGATGAGATGGACATGGGCAGNAAATAGTAAAAATAAGTAACCAGATATTTATTCTGTTACTAATCAACGGCCTATTGTGTGCATGAAATCTCACTGATTTCATGCATTATTACCTGTCCAAAGTTGAGTTTAGCCTTTTGATGACAGCCTAGTGTGAAAGCAGGGATGTATCCCTCGTCACAATCAATACCTCTAAAGGCGATCTCCTGACCCAGAGAATCCATCATCAATTCTCCGTTCAGAGAGAATGCTGCAAAGATGACAGGTTATATACAGTCAGGGGGTTCTAGTAGATAGCATCACTCACTTCAATCTTCAAATATTTCTTTTTTCACTACTAATACATGACCTTGAATGATACATAGCAATGATTTTAACATGACCTTGAACGTTTATATTAGATCATACATAACAAAGATTTTAACACCAAGAACGGTCAGTAGTACTCACTGATGGTCTTATCCTGTAGGTCCAACATACAGCCAATCACATCACCGTGTGCCCAGTTCTTGCCGTACTGCTCTGCTCCCTGGTACCATTTATAGCCCTGTGACAGCAGAAACATTCCTTGTACAACTAAATCATACAACTTTTAACATCTCAGAACTAAATACCTACATATATTCACAAAACATCAGATATTTACAATCGGGACACACAGAGAATTTTGAGGCCGTGAAATAATTAATGAATAGAATAATAAAATCTTACAGAAAATCCATCAAATGCATATGACATGCAATCTACTCCGATTTCTGTGCTGGGGTCGGATGAAGCTTTGGCCCATCCACACTTCATAAAGCCCGGGGTTATCACTTCAAACTCATAGTACCTGTACAAAGAACAGAATCCAAGCTTTTATGTTTTCCACATATATATCAAAATATATTAAAGCTATTTAATTTTTCTTTCATCAATGAGCTATAATAGTTTTCATTAAGAACCCAATCTTTTGTAAGTTTTCTTATCATTAACAATTTGAAAGAAAATCTTATTAGATTTCAAAGCAAAGCTCATTATACAATTTTTGAAAGTCCGTAAGTGTATCAACAAGGGAAGAGATCTTTTGATATCAAATTAAGTCTAGTATAACGTAACTAATTATATATATATATATAAGTAACACACCATTTGCCTGATATGACAGTGTAAGTCAGCTCCCCACGATATGTCCTTGTGGTCAGCTTGCTGGGAGTGTCCTGGCTAAGAGCTGTCCAACAAAAACCACAAATAATAACATACAGCATGTCTGCTAGGAAACAACATTTTTTTTCGTTTCACCCGATACAGTTGCTTCCAAAATATTCTATTAGAAAAATTAGCTTGATAAAAAAAGACTGAAGGACAGATGTTAAGGTATATCACTTAGTGTATGTTCAGATGCTGATTTACAGTGATTCAGCACAGAGTCAAGCTGAATCTGAATGCTATCCCTGTTGTCATGACCACTGATACTAACAATAGTGCAATAGTTAATTCAAACAGAAAATGACAACCGAAGTATAGAGTTTTATGAAATAATTTCTACTAATTGAGGTCAATCATATATTAGTTTTCTATATGACCACTAACAAATCCAATGATGGAAGTATTTATAACTGATGTCAGCCAATCAAAGTGGACCTACCTTTGCCTTGTCCATGACTGGCCAAGTGATTATATAATTTACTTCCTATGAGCAGCATAAAAGCAAGCAAAAATCTCTATACATGTACAAGCTTGTAATACACAAACCAAAGTCCAANAAAGAACAACGTCGTGACGTCACAATTACATGTCATCACACTACAATAGTAACGTGACGTCACGAAGTACACGAGATTGGTGGACAATTTAGCGTAAAATTTTAGTGTGGCCTGTTGAGACTTGGTTTTATTATTTTTATATTATATATATATATATATAATGATACCATAAGTATGAAGAGTACCCCATTTGAAATTCTTGCAAGGCAGATGTCTGTAACTTAGTTTGTAGAATTATAGTTAGTTATAAATAACACTTGTAACAAGTCATCAGCCCCATGAACTTACATGGGTATGAAGATGCTGGCAGTGTTTTTCTTGACAATCTGGACATGCTGATCATGTAAACAATTCCATGTTTACAACGCTGATGAGGCGGTAATGGATGATGACATTAAACTGTTTAGATATGACTGGTACTGTTTACTATGTACAGCATGCACACTAAGGCAGGGTTTACAGTTTTCACTCTGTGTGCAACCTTCTAGACAGGATTAGGGCAGTGCTCTATATAATTGTGTACATGATCAGATGAGTAACTGATGTAGTTATTTAATGTTGAAATCAGCAAAGGTGCATCGCTAATGATCTCGCAGACAATATATAGGTGTGCATTGGATAAACATTCGTAAATATAGGCGGTGCGCGATGTCTGGGGCGAGCAATGTCTAGAGCGAGCAATGTCTGGAGCGAGCAATGTCTGGGGTGAGCTATGTCTTGAGTGAGCAATGTCTGGGGCGAGCTATGTCTTGAGTGAGCAATGTCTGGGGCGAGCGATGTCTTGAGTGAGCAATGTCTGGGGCAAGCGATGTCTTGAGTGAGCAATGTCTGGGGCGAGCGATGTTTTGAGTGAGCAATGTCTGGGGCGAGCGATGTCTTGAGTGAGCAATGTCTGGGGCGAGCGATGTCTTGAGTGAGCAATGTCTGGAGCGAGCGATGTCTGGAGCGAGCAATGTCTGGGGCGAGCAATGTCTGGAGTGAGCAATGTCTGGGGCGAGCATTTTCTGGAGCGAGCAATGTCTGGAGGGAGCAATGTCTGGAGCGAGCAATGTCTGGGGCAGGCGATGTCTGGAGCGAGCGATGTCTGGAGCGAGCAATGTCTGGAGCGAGCAATGCAGCCATTAGGTGTATTATTTGTATGAAAATCCACACTACATCTGATTACGATACTTTTTCCTCACTGACCTGTACTTCGGTTTGAAGAGATCATATCTACAACATTCTGTTTTAATGCAGTAATTTCTAAACAGATCCTTTATTTTTACAACATTTGTTTGTCCAATAATATACCAGGTGAACGTTTCCTCATCTTACAACTCTTCTTATTCTGGAACTAATTCAGCAAATTGTAGAAGGAAAATTGGACGGCAAAACATTGTTCTCTAAAATTGCCAATGTGTTATCAAAGCTTCAGGAGAATACAGAATGGAGCTTACTCAAAATTTCAAGAATGAAAGTATTTGGGATTTTTTTTCTTTTCTGAAATGTATTTATTTATTTGCTATTGAATATCATCTATTTTCATAAGACAGAAGTGCGAACAGACCAAATACCATAACATGAATAAAGCTTCAAAAGAATGTCTATATTCACGGATATAATGTACCGAACAAGGTCAACTCTCCTTTTTTATACCTCAATAATGTAATAATTGTGGATAAAGCATTTCTCATCACAGAAAAAGCAGATAAATAGCAGACATGACTGTAGTATTGTGGGTATAAGTAGAAGCATAAGCTACAACACAAACCTGTCATACCAGTCTCTCCTGTCTCGCTGGTCGGCGGCTCTAAACTGTACATATAGGCCAGCAACGTACGCACCGTCTGATTGGCTGTCTCCCTGGATATGTCATTAAATTAAAAGATGCGAAATATTTACATAAACATATATCTTTTCACTTTAGTTGTGGACCTGTAACATTGGTTCACAATCCAAATGCACCTGTTAAAGTAAGTGTCGTCATATTGCGAGTTAATCATATTGACAGGTATTTTGGGGTCTGCCAGTTTTGCAGTTAAAATGGAAGAATTTATAGATTCAAATTAATTCAAATATTTCCTTGCTAAAACTATTAACACATAATTCCTTCCTACAAAGTTTGATATATTATCTTAAAAGAATAACATTGAATTAAAAAAAAAAGTGTATAATGGGTACAGTTGACCTACCTGTTTGCCTTTTTGATGTTGTCATCCACTTTGCTGTAGGGCACCAGATGTGGGTTCCTCTTAGTGTGTGGATCCTGGTACAGACCAAACAGCAATTAGTATCAAGGTCACTTATAGACACGACAAAGGTTCTTGTTTAGCCAGACACAATAGTTATCATAATTACCTTGTTTCTCAATGTTTTAGAATCATGTAAGACTATTTTACTCAGAATTATCATCTAGCCTGCCACAGTCCTATAGTGTTCTACCTCTTGCCAGCCAAAGGTCCAGCCATGTTTGATCCTGTCCTTGGCCCAGACATTGTGCGTGTTCTCAGCCAACATGTCAACCAGGTTCTCCATTGTAGGGTCCATGTCTACAGCAGCCAGATCAAGGGGGGTTGGCTTGTAGCCGTTTGATTGTAGGAAGCTGAAAAAATCATTAACAAATGTCATCACCGAAAATGTAAACAAAACGTTATTGCTGATCTATTTACATTTGACATATGGTCAGAGGGTGAACATTTTGTAATGTAAATTATGATAAATAAAGCGCAAAACTAACTTGTTTGGTAGTTTGACTGTCTTCATCCTGTTGTTCTGTTCCTTCTTCAGGTCCATACTGATGTGGTAGCCTAGGGCCAATAGTGTGCTATAACATACAAATGTTCTTATAACATGGCAAGCTACTTCAGGTCCATGCTGATGTGGTAGCCTAGGGCCAAGTGTGCTGTAACATACAAATGGTCTTATAACACTGCAAGCTACTTCAGGTCCATACTGATGTGGTAGCTTAGGGTCAATAGTGTGCTGTAACATACAAATGTTCTTATAACACTGCAAGCTACTTCAGGTCCGTACTGATGTGGTAGCCTAGGGCCAATAGTGTGCTATAACATACAAATGTTCTTATAACACTGCAAGCTACTTCAGGTCCGTACTGATGTGGTAGCCTAGGGCCAATAGTTTGCTATAACATACAAATGTTCTTATAACTTTGCAAGCTACTTCAGGTCCGTACTGATGTGGTAGCCTAGGGCCAATAGTGTGCTATAACATACAAATGTTCTTATAACACTGCCCACTACTCATACAGACAACACTTTAAATCTATATATATTACCATAGAAACATATTCGGATTATCTGACAATCTGAACCTCTGATAGCTAAACCATCGCATATTCAATCCAACAAGTAATGTTTCCCAATCTTTAACAAATTGTGGCAGGTTGATCCAAAGACTGCTTAACCAAAACAATATATTATATACATCCCCCTTGGTTTTAATAATTGGCAATCTACTGTATTTTGAAAATACATCTATAATGAAAATATGAAAACCTTGTGAACACTCATGTTTTAATAAGCTGACAATTCAGGAATTCATAATTGTAAAGGTGAAATTACTCACAAAGCCTATCAGTATTAGAACACACATTGTGATTTTGGACTTTACGTACCGCAGAGTTTCGAATGCCACAGTGATTACATATTTCTTCTCTGACATTGGAAGTCTCTCAAAGTTTGTTAAGGACGGATTCATCTTCTTCTGATCATCTCTCACCTATTATGGCAGAAAAACAGTCAGGTTAGTTCAGAGATAAGTTTGAAGTAAAGCAAATATTTGCTCTAGCTCGGTCAATCCCCAAGATGCACATATTTACTTCCCAGAACACACATACTCACCTCCCCATGGGACCATCCCTGTTTTAACTTGTTGATTACCAAGAACAAACATACTCATCTCCCCATAGGACCATCCCTGTTTTATCTTTTTTATTACCAAGAACACACATACTCCCCTCCCCATAGGACCATCCCTGTCCTATCTTGTTCATGGACAAGAACACACATACTCACCTCCCAATAGGACCATCCCTGACAGGTCCTATCTTGTTCATGGCCCAGTAAACACATACTCATCTCCCCATAGGCCCATCCCTGTTATATCTTGTTGATTACCAAGAACACACATAATCATATACCTCCCCATAAAACCATCCCTGTTCTATCTTGTTCATGGCCCAGTACAAACATACTCATCTCCCCATAGGCCTATCCCTATTCTATCTCGTTCATGGCCCAGTACACACAATACTCACCTCCCCATAAAACCATCCCTGTTCTATCTTGTTCATGGCCCAGTACACACAAACTCATCTCCCCATAGGCCCATCCCTGTTCAATCTTGTTCATGGCCAAGTACACACACAAACTCATCTCCCCATAGGCCCATCCCTGTTTTATCTTGTTCATGGCCCAGTACACACAATACTCACCTCCCCATAAAACCATCCCTGTTCTATCTTGTTAATGGCCCATGCCAGTACACACATACTCATCTCCCCATAGGCCCATCCCTGTTCTATCTTGTTCATGGCCCAGTACACACAATACTCACCTCCCCATAAGCCCATCCCTGTTTTATCTTGTTCACCACCCAGTACACACAATACTCACCTCCCCATAGGACCATCCATGTTCAATCTTGTTTATGGCCCAGCACACACATACTCACCTCCCAATAGGACCATCCCTGTTCTATCTTGTTCATGGCCAAGAACACACAAACTTACCTCCCCATAGGACCATCCCTGTTCTATCTTGTTCATGGCCCAAATTTCGTGTAAGTTCTCTGCCAGCTTGTCCCTCACATTTTCTATGTAAACTGGCAGCTGGATCTGTAAATTAATGTTTTTCATGTACATGAAAATTCATGACAAAGACTAAATGATGGTTAATTGTTTTCATTACATGATTACAGTGACTTGTATCTTGTAACTACCAGCTGGTTGAGTATTGGGAAATAACTTCACATCAATCTGATTAAGGACTGGGCTAGTTAGCTACATTCAGTCGAAATAAATAATTATAGAGCATAATTATACAAGGTTTTACTCACAAGCATAAGATACATGGTCTAACTGATCATCTAACATCCCCGATACACAGTCCCATACTCATTAGATACTTAGTCTAACATATCATCTGACATCCCTGGTACATAGTCCCATACTCATTAGATACTTAGTCTAACTGATCATCTGACATCCATGGTACATAGTCCCATACTCATCAGATACTTAGTCTAACTGATCATCTGACATTCCTGGTACACAGTCCCATACTCATTAGATACTTAGACTAACTGACTCACATTGGCAGTATCCACAGGGTTTGGCACAAATGGTGTGTATTCACATATCTCTGTTGGACCACAGATGATGTTGCGACTGACATCTCCAAACATGAAGCATGGCTCAACCTTGACCTTTTCTTTGGGGAGGAGACACTCCACCACTGGAGAGTGGTTGTCGGGGGGACCATACTTCAGGCGTCCATGCTCACCACCCAGTAAGAACCGACAACTGTAGCAAGGGTATAAACATGGTGAAAATGGTATATGGTGAAAATGGTATCTAAAAGAAAGTCTTAGCTTGAGAAGGGGTTCTATTGACTAGACACAAGGATTTGTTTATGTACCAACAACCATAATTTCACATGACCTTGACTCAATTATCACATTAACCTTTGACCTCTACTAACCATCATGACATGTGCAAAAGTCAATATGATAGGTAAAATAGAAATCCAAGAAACCATTTATGGTTTACCTTGTGCTGGCAGACATGGATATGACAGGAAAAAAGAGACCATTAATGTTGAAGTCTTTGAAAATGCCTGGCACCCTAATCCCATTGACGGAGAAAGTGATCTGAGGCACAGCAAGGTCAAGGCTGCAGCCGACCACATCACCTTGTTTGAATGTTTGACTTTCTCCCTTCACCTGCTTTGGGCGACCACCTGTAAAACAGAGCAATAGCAATTACCAGACAATGGGTTGTAGATCTTACAGGATAGTAACTACCTGTAATAATATTCCAGTTAATTAGTAGAACTGGTGGAAAATGAAGAATACACAAAAACAAAATCAGGCATAACTCACCTGTCCAAAGACTTTGTCCATCAAAAGCATAAGAATACAGGTTGTCTCCTGCCCCATTGGCTCCCCATTTCTCACCACCCCCTGGGTGGGGCACAAAACCATAAGTGTTTGCCCAGCCCACCCTGAGGACAGGCGGAAGGTGTGACACAACCTCCAGGTGGTCCAGCATCACCTCAAAGTACCACCGCTTGTACATGGACGAGCCGTTCAGGATACCAACATACACATTGGGCTTCATACTGGTCACAAAATACAACATGTTAAATGTCTGAAGAATGCCATTGAAAAAATTCATCTGAGGTAGCTTGATTCTCTATCTCTTGTTTTTATTCCATCACAATTTTCAACAATTTGCAAATTTATGTAACACAGACGGCTATATTAAGTTAATATCCTGTTTACTTCAGAGAATGGACTCTGTAGTCTAACAGTTCTCTGGTTTAATAAATTCACTGTATGCAACTTCACCTTAAAGTGGTCTACTATTACTTATATCAATCAGGATATTAGGAGGGGTACCTGCTGACATGGTTGATGAGCTTGGTTTGTAGAAGTAAGTCACAGCCAGGTAACAAGTTATCACAGATCAGATTTTGGTTGGTTCTCACTGCTACTCCATTACCCACACACAGCGAGCAAAGCACATCCAGCACCTAAGGACAAGGTCAAAGATAGATGGAATCAAGTCAAACTTACATGTCAGGGCCAGACATGGCATCAAGTCAAGTGTAGACGTCAAGGCCAGACACAGCATAAAGTCAAGCATAGATGTCAAGGCCAGACATGGCATCAAGTCTAGTGTAGATGTCAAGGCCAGACACAGCATTAAGTGAAACACAGATGTCAAGGTCAGACACAGCATTAAGTCAAATGTAGATGTCAACACCAGACACAGCATTAAGTGAAACACAGATGTCAAGGTCAGACACAGCATCAAGTCTAGTGTACATGTCAAGGTCAGACACAGCATCAAGTCAAATGTAGATGTCAACACCAGACACAGCATTAAGTCAAACATAGATGTCAAGGCCAGACACAGCATTAAGTCAAACGTAGATGTCAAGGTGAGACACAGCATTAAGTCAAGCATAGATGTCAAGGCCATACATGGCATCAAGTCATGTTTAGATGTCAAGGCCAGATACAGCATTAAGTCAAACACAGATGTCAAGGTGAGACACAGCATTAAGTCAAATGTAGATGTCAAGGTGAGACATGGCATTAAGTCAAGTGTATATGTCAAGGTGAGACATGGCATTAAGTCAAACATAGATGTCAAGGCCAGATACAGCATTAAGTCAAACACAGATGTCAAGGTCAGACACAGCATTAAGTCAAATGTAGATGTCAAGGTGAGACATGGCATTAAGTCAAGTGTATATGTCAAGGTGAGACATGGCATTAAGTCAAGTGTATATGTCAAGGTCAGACACAGCATTAAGTCAAACATAGATGTCAAGGCCAGACACAGCATTAAGTCAAATGTATATGTCAAGGTGAGACATGGCATTAAGTCAAGTGTATATGTCAAGGTCAGACACAGCATTAAGTCAAACATAGATGTCAAGGTCAGACACAGCATTAAGTCAAATGTAGATGTCAAGGTGAGACATGGCATTAAGTCAAGTGTATATGTCAAGGTCAGACACAGCATTAAGTCAAACATAGATGTCAAGGCCAGACACAGCATTAAGTCAAACGTAGATGTCAAGGTGAGACATGGCATTAAGTCAAGTGTATATGTCAAGGTGAGACATGGCATTAAGTCAAGTGTATATGTCAAGGTCAGACACAGCATTAAGTCAAACATAGATGTCAAGGCCAGACACAGCATTAAGTCAAATGTAGATGTCAAGGTGAGACATGGCATTAAGTCAAGTGTATATGTCAAGGTCAGACACAGCATTAAGTCAAACGTAGATGTCAAGGTGAGACATGGCATTAAGTCAAGTGTATATGTCAAGGTCAGACACAGCATTAAGTCAAGTGTATATGTCAAGGTCAGACACAGCATTAAGTCAAACATAGATGTCAAGGTGAGACATGGCATTAAGTCAAGTGTATATGTCAAGGTCAGACACAGCATTAAGTCAAACATAGATGTCAAGGCCAGACACAGCATTCAGTCAAACGTAGATGTCAAGGTGAGACATGGCATTAAGTCAAGTGTAGATGTCAAGGCCAGACATGGTATTAAGTCAAAATTAGATGCCGGAGTCAATGGTAAATATTTTTATACAACCCATTTAATCGGCATGCATTTTTATTTTAACATTATTGATACAATAGTGAAAACAAGAATTATAAATGACCAACTGCTTTATCTGATTAAGTTTGAGAGCTGGATGTTGTGTGAAGCCTACCTTTGGGTCCCTGCCATGGCGGTCTATGAGGGATATGATTGTATTGATGTGTTTCTCCTTGATCATATTCAGTGCCTCAGGGCTGTCTATGAGGACACAGTGTAGCACCTCTAACACACCTGAAACACAGCATTACAACAGAGGGTTAACTGTGGAACAGACCTCTATCTAAACAACATTCACTTTTAGTACAAACATGACAGACAAATGAATTCCTTTAGTGACAGAAATTTGATAGAGATGTAAATAAGACTGACCTTTTGAGGACTGCTGACTCTCAAGCCTGTCCACCAGCCAATCAAGGCGGTAAGACTGGGCAAACTGGGCACAGTTAGCACGGTTACCTCGAATCATGGCCGCTACAAACAAACATTAAACAATGAGGAAAAGTCCAATCAATAACTGTATATTACTGCTAAAACATGAGAAGAGGAGGTGACGATCAAATCAGATACCAGTTTGGACACAAGCATTAGTAATTGAGCTAGAAGATATACACCTATAGCTGGAAGTATAAAGACTTGGAGATATCCACACTCACCCAGTGGTAAGGAGAGGTAACTTGAGATATCCACACTCACCCAGTAGTAAGTAGAGGTAACTTGAGATATCCACACTTACCCAGTAGTAAGTAGAGGTTATTTGAGATATCCACACTTAGCCAGTAGTAAGTAGAGGTAACTTGAGATATCCATACTTACCCAGTAGTAAGAAGAGGTAACTTGAGATATCCACACTCACCCAGTAGTAAGTAGAGGTAACTTGAGATAACCACACTTACCCAGTAGTAAGTAGAGGTTATTTGAGATATCCACACTTAACCAGTAGTAAGTAGAGGTTATTTGAGATATCCACACTTAGCCAGTAGTAAGTAGAGGTAACTTGAGATATCCACACTTACCCAGTACTAAGTAGAGGTAACTTGAGATATCCACACTTACCCAGTACTAAGTAGAGGTAACTTGAGATATCCACACTTACCCAGTAGTAAGAAGAGGTAACTTGAGATATCCACACTCACCCAGTAGTAAGTAGAGGGAACTTGAGATATCCACACTTACCCAGTAGTAAGTAGAGGTTACTTGAGATATCCACACTTACCCAGTAGTAAGTAGAGGTAACTTGAGATATCCACACTTACCCACTAGTAAGAAGAGGTTATTTGAGATATCCACACTTACCCAGTAGTAAGTAGAGGTAACTTGAGATATCCTCGTATTTGTTGGAAGCATCCTCCCCTGCATAGTGAGCGAAATGGCGACGACTTTTGTACTGGCTGAACTTGTCTATGGTCTCCAAGATCAGGGCTATCATACCCTAGTAACAACAAATCAACAAATGCATGGTGACTGTACTGCTCACATGTTTATCATCAAAATCAGAAGAAAAAAATGAATTTAAGAACATGGAGGTTAAAAATATTACAGTTACATATTTTATGTTTTTTTTGTGGAAAATCTGTCTGTGGGATTAAGAATAAGTTAAAAAATTGTCTCAAACAACCAAAAGACAGTGGATTTAAAAATCATCTCTAAAAAACAACAGCACTTAATGTTCAGTACGTTAAAAATGCTATTAAAAACAAGTTGGCTGGTAGAACGTAAGAATAAATAGAAAAAGTCTCAGCCAATCAGAGGCCAGAGCTGCCACCTTTCACCTTGAAATGTCATCCAAAAATCTAAACTTTACACAATGTTTAAATGTTATTAATGATATTTTCTTGTGGGATATGCAAGTTACGTCATTTTTTAATTGGAAAACTTAGCAATGTCTGTTAAGTCAAACCATTACGCAGCAGACAAGCTTCACCATCGATAGGAGAACAACTAGTTACCTCCTCTTGGAAAAGATCTTGTCTGTTTCTTAAAGCTCGTAGTTTGTTTTGTTTTTCTTCGTGTTCTGAAAGACAAAAATGCATTAATAATAGCCTAATATATACCAGCTAATGTGATAAATCGCCTGAGTAAACTGCTTGTTCAGGATATACAGTTAGTTGTTCTTGGGGGAAAAGTATTATTCNAGTTAAACAACGTAAAAGCTGTTAAAATTGTTTATGGTAGTATCAACAAAACTGCTACTAACAAGCCACGGGACCTGTGTAATGACAACATTTCAAAAACAATAACCGGTATATATCTATTTTGACAGCAAAACAGGTGTGTCTACATTTATAATCAATAAGCGGAATAAAGCAGTTTATAGAAAACTGAGCATACCTTCTTCATCCCCGGGCTGAGCAAAGTAGTCGATAAGATCTTCAAGGCACTTGAGTACTTCGGAAAGGCTTACTCGGGACCAGGTAACACTGGACTTGCCTTCTGACTTCAGGGAGTCCAGCGCTCTGGAGAAAATACCAGCAATAGTATACCTTACTGCCATATACAAGGTTCCTAGTACATATCAGGCTCATCTTGTTTGGTGGGTTAATTGAATTGAAACTGAACATAATTATTAAAATTTTCAGAAAACACAGTTTTTTAATGTACTATATATATATGTAAAATACTTACTTGGTGAACTTTGTGAAAAGTGATTGACACTTGCGGATGACTCTGGCTGATCTGGACTCCTCCTCTTGGGCGCGGCTCAATGAAAATCCATCGTCCATGTGACCTTCAACCAACATCACAGCCTGCAGGGGGGATGGAGTAGAGCTTACATTTGATGTTTATAAACATAGTGTTTAATTTATGTATAGCTCATGTAAATATAAATTACTATGATACCAAATCCTGTCTGAGGAAACAAGATTCATTTTCTGTCTCAAACCACAATGTTTGGAAATACTAAACTTCGTGGTAATTTTTCAAATGATCATTAGAAAGTCAATAGAAACAAAAAACTGATTATTAACAAATCCTTCTGGTTTTAGAAATTTGAAGCAGACCTTTTTCTCCTCAATCCTGCCGAGCCCTCGTTTCTTGGTTTCAAATGTCTGGTAGGAGAGCCACTTTCCGGAGTCACTGTGTTGAATGAACACCATAGAGTCGCCGTACTTAACATCTGCCTTCCCCATACCTTCATCCTCACGACCCTCTGCTTGTTTCTTCTCATCCTACAAATCAAACAATCCAGTACTAATATCCTTACCTACATTATATATGGTAAATGCTACCAAAGGCTGTTCAGGAGAAAATCAAATGTCCTCATCAGTATCAACAACTAAAATATCATGGAAATCTATCATTCATTGTAGACATGAAAATGATGGCAGACGAAAAAAAAATAAAATAAATATTGATAATGTAATTTGGCTTATTGATATCAAGTTTTCATAAAAAAACCTGTTGAAGGGTTTCCAGAATATGGTGAGCCAACCTTTGATGCCATCAGTACAAAGGAGATGCTCTTCTCGTCCGCTTTGACTCTGTGTACGGTGACGACGTTGTTGTCTGCGGTCACCGCCAGATATCTGCCTGATGTTACGTGACGAAGTCTACACTGCTGTCCCCATCCCATAAATCCACCAGCCCACCTGTTGAGGGGAACAGTGACATCGTAACGACATGTTGAGGCAAGTCAAATATAGAATCATCCCAAGGGCAAGGATGTACAATAAAATCAGACTTCATCAACCTGAATTGAAGGACATATTGAAACAAATGGCTCAAAACCCATGCCTGTTTGTCTATTCCCTCGCTTCATTTACACTGCCAAATGAACAAGTTTACTAATTTCTGATCAAGTTTACTAATTTCTGATCAAGTTTACTAATTGCTGATCAAGTTAACTAATTGCTGATCAAGTTTACTTATTGCAGATCAAATTTACTAATTTCTGATCAAATTATCTAGTTTATGGATTTTCAATCGAACAATTCATTTTACAAATGTTTGATCAAATATTCCAGTAAATGAAACTTGAGAGAAAAATTCTGTTATCTTTTATGTCAATATCTTATGTATCTAAGTGTTACATATACAACTCTATACATACTATATGAGTCCCATACTTCCCAACCTTTTCAAATTTCCATGGAGGAGATCCCCGATCTCAAAATGAAAAAGTTGTTCATGAATCATTAGATGTTAGAATATAGGAATAGCTTAGCGTATATGTGACCTATTTTGTTTGTATAACAACCTACTTGGTTCGTATAAGTTCTATCCTCCAAAGTGATCTTGCATGGCTGCACACAGCACCAGTTTCATACATGACGGCTCTGAAACAAAAGATACATTGTATTATGTTTTAAGTACACCAAAATGTGAAGGACATGCATTTTCTCTCAGACTCATAGAGGAAGAGGCAATATCTGTATAATGAGGGCATAGGTCTTTCTCTCATTTGATGTCAAACTCATATTCACTTAATACCTTAGTAACTTTATTTATTAAAAATCTTGATTTTTAAGGGTTTAAAGACATGTACCGAATGTCCTGTTTGACCTTGAAGAAGTTTACAGGGCCGTTTATTTGCTCTGAGGATGAAATATTTGTCTACCATATCCAACTACATGGCTGATCACAGCTCTGTTCACACTTAAACCAGTCCAGTGTGTACTTCATTTCTATACTTTGTCTGGAAATATTAAAATAGTGTACATATATGACATGACAGATTCCCTGCTGTTGTAATTTCTCAGTAGAATGGATCATATGTATATCATAAAACTTCTCCCAAAGCTTTTAGCATTTGACATTGATGAATGAGAAGACAGTGAAACTACACAGGACCAAGTCTTTAGCAATGGTAAATACTCAAATTCTCATCACTATGGATTATGTAATAGCATCTCTTTTCCTTTACTCTCATGATTCTTTATGACAACTTTCAATAATGGCAGACTGGACATTTCCTGTTTGTCTGATATATTCATGGAGACACAGAGCACTCAGCTAAGTCTAATCTGGTGTAAAATGTTACAATTACTTATTGATTCCCAGAAAATGAGATATTGAGATTGTCTGAGGCAAACATTTTTTTTTAATTTGGAGTGATGGGATTGAGTCTGTATTGTGAGTAACAGACTAATGAACGAGCAGAGCTGTTTCTAAGAGCAGTCTTCTAAAACAAAACCTATATATAATATACAATCTCAGCAGCCAACTATTTTACATTGTTCAACCTATGAACTTCAACAGCAAAGTGACCTCAATCACTGTGGTAGGGTAACCCCTTACTCGTGACCTCAATCACTGTGGTAGGGTAACCCCTTAATCAGTGACCTCAATCACTGTGGTAGGGTAACCCTTTACTTAGTGACCTCAATCATTGTGGTAGGGTATCTCTTACTCAGTGACCTCAATCACTGTGGTAGGTTAACCCCTTACTCAGTGACCTCAATCACTGTGGTAGGGTAACCCCTTACTCAGTGACCTGAATCACTATGGTAGGGTAACCCCTTATTCAGTGACCTCAATCACTGTGGTAGGGTAACCCCTTACTCAGTGACCTGAATCACTATGGTAGGGTAACCCCTTATTCAGTGACCTCAATCACTGTGGTAGGGCAACCCCTTACTCAGTGACCTCAATCACTGTGGTAGGGTATCTCTTACTTAGTGACCTGAATCACTGTGGAAGGGTAACCCCTTACTTAGTGACCTAGATCATTGTGGTAGGGTATCTCTTACTCAGTGACCTCAATCACTGTGGTAGGGTAACCCCTTACTCTGTGACCTCAATCACTGTGGTAGGATATCTCTTACTCAGTGACCTCAATCACTGTGGTAGGGTAACCCCTTACTCTGTGGTCTAAATCATTGTGGTAGGGTATCTCTTACTCAGTGACCTCAATCACTGTGGTAGGGTAACCCCTTACTCAGTGACCTCAACCACTGTGGTAGGGTATCCCTTATGGGTATATATAACCTCATGACCTCACATATGATACACTTACGTAAATTCATTTTCACTTCCTGCCTCCGGGATAGTTAAACATTCATCCATATGTCCATGAAAGAGTCGTATAACGTCTCCTCCAAAGGTGTTTCCTGCAAAAGCCCAAACATTTAGCAAGTCTTTTTAAAATAAAGCTGAAAAGATTGATGTATTTGAATGATATAACTTTATATTCAGTAAATAATTAAATACAAACTTTCACCACAATATAACAATGACCTTCACAATATAACAATGACTGTCACAAAATATTACTGGTATAATGTATACATTGTTTTGTAATAAGACTATCTGAAGGTTAGGGGAAATGTGATAAATACCTAGAGATTTCTGACTGATTGCTCCGGAACTCATAGGTACCACGGTCCATAACGTCTGCTGGAAAGATGCTATCACCATGGAGCCGCCATAGATGTGCTGTATTAGAAGAGATGTTTGTATTTATTGGTACTTTACAACTTTGGCATCACACATTATAATAAAAGACCTCTGTAAGCTTTACATGAACAAGCTCAATATTAATACAAATGAAGGATCGGACCAGAATGACAGTTACACTTTTGCTGAGCATCCTATGCCCTTGGTGTCAGTAAATCTAATTGGCTTTAGGTTTTTCATCAAATATTGTTCAATTGGGTCAAGGACATTCCTCCCCACAAACTATAAGACAAATAGCATTACTCCAATCCCTCTAGATTTCCGTAAGAAATGTTCAAAAATTTCATCACATTTAACTTTTGTGACCAAGAAAGTAGGTCAAGGTAATTTATTAGAATGAACTCTTGATAGCCCTTCCCAGCGTCAAGCTACAGGTCAAATATAGTTAATCTAAACATTCTGAATCTCTAGCAGAAGTTTTTTGAGTATTTAAATATATTTGGCTATAATATGCTACCTCGAATAAAGGTCAAGTAATTTATTTAAGCATCTTTGATAGTCCTCTATCCATTAGCTAGCTTTACAGACCAAACATTATGACCCTAAGATTATGGTTCAAAAGAAGAAGTGGAAAACATAAATTGCTAAAATAGGACAATGTATTGGTGTGCTCCTTATCCACTACTTACCAAATACCTCTCTGATGATACACTGACAAGGATAAGGTCATCTCCTACCCTGACCTTTTCACCCTCTGACCTCTGTTTAGAAGCTGGATGGATGGTCCACCAACAGGATTCACCTACAATCAGGATAGCATGTCGAGTTAGTGGAATATGTATGTTCGACTTTGCTAAACAAGACAATACAGCTACATTCATTTTCATGTATATCAGAGGTTTATATTCAAGAGAAGATATAACAATTTGTATCCAGCACTTAGCCTATGTCTGGTAATAAGTCCATCCATATCTATTGCAGCTCACTGGAAATGCTAACAAATGCTGTTTCATTGTCCCGTAGTATATAAGCTCACCCCCTACTTTGAGTTAGAAATTATATTTTGTCTCCTGGTTTTATTGGAGGATAAGAACTGTTAGCGTCAGCAGACTTTTCTATTCAAGTAAATTCATGTAGTTTTACCTGACATTTTGAAGAGGGATCTTCCAGACTGTATACAACATAAACAAAATAAAAAGTGGTATGACAGGACAGATGCTGGGTGTGTGTATGACTGGACAGATGCTGGATGTGTGTATGACAGGACAGATGCTGGGTGTGTATATGACAGGACAGATGCTGGGTGTGTGTATGACAGGACAGATGCTGAGTGTTTGTATGACAGGACAGATGCTGAGTGTGTGTATGCCAGGACAGATGCTGGGTGTGTGTATGACAGGACAGATGCTGAGTGTTTGTATGACAGGACAGATGCTGAGTGTGTGTATGACAGGACAGATGCTGAGTGTGTATATGACAGGACAGATGCTGGGTGTGTGTATGACAGGACAGATGCTGAGTGTGTGTATGACAGGACAGATGCTGAGTGTGTATATGACAGGACAGATGCTGGGTGTGTGTATGACAGGACAGATGCTGAGTGTGTGTATGACAGGACAGATGCTGAGTGTGTATATGACAGGACAGATGCTGGGTGTGTGTATGACAGGACAGATGCTGAGTGTGTGTATGACAGGACAGATGCTGAGTGTGTATATGACAGGACAGATGCTGGGTGTGTGTATGACAGGACAGATGCTGAGTGTGTGTATGACAGGACAGATGCTGAGTGTGTATATGACAGGACAGATGCTGGGTGTGTGTATGACAGGACAGATGCTGAGTGTGTGTATGACAGGACAGATGCTGAGTGTGTATATGACAGGACAGATGCTGGGTGTGTGTATGACAGGACAGATGCTGAGTGTGTGTATGACAGGACAGATGCTGAGTGTGTATATGACAGGACAGATGCTGGGTGTGTGTATGACAGGACAGATGCTGAGTGTGTGTATGACAGGACAGATGCTGAGTGTGTATATGACAGGACAGATGCTGGGTGTGTGTATGACAGGACAGATGCTGAGTGTGTGTATGACAGGACAGATGCTGAGTGTGTATATGACAGGACAGATGCTGGGTGTGTGTATGACAGGACAGATGCTGGGTGTGTGTATGACAGGACAGATGCTGAGTGCATGTATATGACAGGACAGATGCTGGGTGTGTGTATGACAGGACAGATGCTGAGTGTGTGTATGACAGGACAGATGCTGAGTGTGTATATGACAGGACAGATGTTGAGTGTGTATATGACAGGACAGATGTTGGGTGTGTGTATGACAGGACAGATGCTGAGTGTATGTATGGCAGGACAGATGCTGAGTGTGTGTATGACAGGACAGATGCTGGGTGTGTGTACGACAGGACAGATGCTGAATGTGTGCATGACAGGACAAATACTGAGTGTTTGTCTGACAGGACAGATGTTAGGTGTGTGTATGACAGGACAGATGCTGAGTGTGTGTATGACAGGACAGATGCTGGGTGTGTGTATGACAGGAGAGATGCTGGGTGATGGCAAGCAGACTGATGATTGTAAACAGGTGAAAACAATCTGTCTGTTCACATGAACCAGTTAATGTTTCCCTAGAAGCTACTGTGTAAGGAATACAGAACAACAGACAGGCAGTAATCTGATTGGAAAATGTCAAAGGAACTGTGTGCTGAGTTTTTGATAAATTTTGACTTGAATATCTCTTCAGAAAGTTATTTTTCTGCTCTCAGCAGATAATTTAATCCCATTCTGAATTGTTTTAAACTGATGAACAAGATAATACTATTGATTTCTTGTTCCCTCCATAAAGAAGGTTGAGGGAATGCATGCTGTTAATCCAGAGTGAGATGTGTGCATCCTCATTTTGTTCAGTTGTCAATCAAATTGTAAGTAAAACAAATGACTGCCATGTTTTAAGCCTGCATGTCTTGACTCCATTAGGACAGGTTCCCCAGAGGAACCTCAGCTCCATCAAATCTACTAGGCACCAAGCTAAAGTGTAGACCCAAGTATCCCCATGTACCTTAGAGGCCATTACGAAAGGCTAACGAGGGAACAATGCTGAGTCTTAGAACTAGTTGTCTGGACTAGTTCTGAATGTTGTTTAATGAGTCACAAAATGTTTGCTAATTCAATCAAACTTGAGAATCATGTTCAAGTGAAACAACCTTCAAAGTAAAACTTTAAAACTGTATCTACTAACAAATCACACCTGAATATCAACACAAAATGTTGTAATTTGGATATTGTATATATGTACCATAAGTTCTATGGTTACTGGCAGAGATTGTACCATAAGTTCTATGGCTGCTAGCAGGTTCCGGTTTCAAATTCTCTTGATGTGGAACTGTGGCTAACCATACAATACAACCATATATAATACAGACATACCTTGTGCAGTTTCCTGTAGACCAACGTCGAAGGCTAGTTTGTCATTTGACGAGCTGGTCGACAGGCAGGACAGATACTGTAATAATACAATTTAGAAATTCATTTAATGTGTTGGCTTTATTAGGTATTAGCCAAACAGTTTCAACACAATTCAGTCAAGAATTAAGAGACAGCAAGATTTGATGATTCATGTTTCCATGACAAATATGCAATTGACAAAACATCTATCATAAAACCATTAAGTTTTAAACTCCTGTAACAGTTGTCCTCATTCTAATTATGCTTTATGAATTTATTCTTCAAGTCAGTGGTGTATTTCTGCAATCCCTGACAAATGCTCACCATGTTGCTATGGAGATGCCTTAGTAACACAGCATGGCCATATAGGAGTGTTCTGTGACCGGATTGTGCTGTCTGGAAACAGAAAAAAGTAAGGTACGTTTAGCATCATAATATCACCTGAATATCTACACATTTGTGAAATCATACATAATCTGTAACAGTTTAGAACGCTATGTAACTATGGCAGACATCACTATGTTGGTTTCCATACTGAAAGGTGTAAATTAAATCCTACATTTCTGTAGTAATCAATTAAATCCTAGATTTCTGTAGTTATTAATTAAATCCTAAATTTCTGTAGTAATCAATTAAATCCTAGATTTCTGTAGTTATCAATTAAATCCTAGATTTTTGTAGTAATCAATTAAATCCTAGATTTCTGTGGTAATCAATTAAATGTTTTGCTGGTACTGTCACATATCAAAGACATACCAATACCAGGGTAAGACGACAGTAAAATCTCTCATGGCAGTTTGACCATTTTAGAATTAATCTGATTGTACAGTTTAGCAAACCTGAGATGGCAGTTCTAACATTATCTGCAGGATAAAGAGTTATAGAGCTTGTTGAGACCTGATATTTCACATACACTACCACTATTTTACGTGGTGTTTTGCGTAGATTGTTCTGACCTGACATCCACTATACTGAAGGCTTTAGGAAGATTTGATGAGCCTAATTAACTTCTCTCAATTGACAAAACTTTCTAAAATTGTGAAATTGAAAATGAAAATATAAATTGTTTGCTGTATTGTATAATTACAATATCAGAAAATCTTGTCTGATAATTGTTTGTCTGTTAGGAACTCTTGTTTTTCTCTGAATTTTTTTTTTTTTTTCACATTACAATAAAAATATGAAATATGAACTCAAGGAAACACTGATGATATATAAATAGATGAACGCATTTAACCAGAATGTAACCGACTGTGTACAGTAAAACATTATAACAAATCCCCACCCCATCTGGCTCCTTACAACATTATTCCTCCTCAATCTTACTCTGTTCCTTTACCATCACATGAAAGCTCTCCCTCTATAAAAATTTACAGGAACAACAAGCTTCATTGAATTTCAAGCTAATGGGTTTGATTCTCACATGTCAACGACATGTTCAAACTTACAGTAACGAAGTACTGAAGGAACAGTGGTACTTCTATCTATATTACTACAGGATTCCACCTAGGTTTTATTAGAGGATTTACAATAGATTCCAAGAACTGCTATAACCAGGCAGGCTACCTGAACATGTAAAGTGTAAACACGGCACCATCCACAATTAAACTTTGGTGCACTGGGGCTGCAGCACTGACAACCTAACAACACATAGATCTACAAAGTCGACAGCTAACATTGTAATATTTGTATTTTGCTACAACACATCTTTTTTAAATCAGGTATCTATTTCGCAGCGGGTTCAGAGCAGTAACATTTTATATATATATCAAGTAAAAGTAATAAAGTTTCCAACCTCGAAGCGGCACCGAAAAGGAACATCACTTTTTATAGGAAGATATTTATATTATGTTACGATAGCGACACATCTTATATGTGTTGAAACTGATCGACAATTAGATTAAAGTCATTTAACCAAGTTAGACACTGTCATGGTTATCTATTTCCATTCAGAAAATATTAAAATAAACTTGATCTTTTATTTGTCATATAGGCTGTCTAGGAATAATCTATATTATCCTTTAGTCAGGATCAAATGATTCTTTATTTCAATATTCAGGTTCAAAGTAGCACAGAGGTGTCACCATTTTAATACCATCAAGACTTCTGCACATTTACCGTAACATATATATCACAAATATACTGTGATGACAACACCATACCCAACCCTCTATGGGCCTGTAACCCTGTAGCATTCTACAACCACCAAGTCAAACCTTCTACCCCCTTTTGATCCATTATGTTTGGCTATCTAGCTTCTTGCTGTATTTATTCTTTAGTCCCTCGAATCCTCTTCTAGTCACAGCCTTAATTCATTGTGACTTAGGAATCATGTTATAATCATATCTCACCCCTGGTGACCTACCCCTAGTTCCATCTTCTATCTATCCTAGCTTTTTATTTGCTTTTGTTGAATGTTCGTAATTTCCAAATCCCTTCTGATGTGTCTCAAAATTAATTTGCATAGTTATCTAATTTAACGATTGGTTTAGTCGTGCTGTTGCTCTGTAAGTCGAATCAATATCCTTTTTTTCAATTGATCAAACCAATGCTTTTATTTAAGACAAGGGACAGGGCTAAGGAAAGCCTACAAAAGACTAGAGAAATAACAACACTGGTATTTGGAAAACTAGTTAAATATGCATTGTAACTATATCCATGGTCCTTGCTAACACGAGAATCTGATGAAGACAGAAAAAAAGCTATCACAGGCTCCGGAATCGGATCCAACGATCCCTGTTCCCTATGACTGGTAATTGAGGGGTTTCATATGGTGCCGAGGTTTCCGGTGTTTACATCTCTCATGTTGCCAGCGTTAAACCAGCTTTAACCTGCTCCGAGGAGCACGACTACATAATATGGCTGTTGTTTGTCTCTAACATGGTAGTCACATCTCGGAAGACTTCATCAGATACCTTTTTTTTGTTTCCATTCAGATGAAATATTGGATCAAGCAAGCCACAAGATTAGATACTACTGGACGGTATATAAAACACAGCCATACAGATCCTTACCCATCAATGGTAGGTTTGTCAGACACCAACTCTCACATTCAAAGTGCAAATCATTTTAATCATTTTTCTCCTCCAGAGATGCCTACTTTCTGCCAACTCTTTCCTATTGATTTTCTGTAGCTTCACTTCCATTTCCTTTGCATACATCATATTCTTAAATACTTCTTTGTTACTGTTTGACATTTATAAGGATATATTTTAGGATAAAGTTTATTGAAATTTTGTAGGTGATCTCTATAGTCTAGAAGACAGAATTTCCTGTTGATGAGAATGTTGTGAGTGACACGACCCTGAAAACCAGTAGGCCTCACTAATAACACCACTCGAAATATTCTTCTATGTAGATGACATTGGTTTTTAAGAAAAGTGTTGTTTTTCGTTGAAATGCCAAACTCAAAACTCTTTCTCAAATTCCTGATTTCAAAACGGAAAACTACAAATTTACTTAATGGTCTTAGTAACATTGACCTTGACCTTAAAAACTTTTAAAACACCTTTTGAACATCTACATATCATAGTGTATCACCATGTCAAATTTCTAAAAGATTAGTCTATAGGTTTCTGAAGTAAGGAACATATCCCCCATTCCACCTGAAGGTTTATTTTTTAGTATCAATGACCTTTACCTTAGAACCCCTACTGCACATATCATAGTGTATCACCATGACTTTCTAAAAGATCAGTCTTCTGTGTTCTGAGATAATCTCTAGAGACAAATGTGCTGTACAGCTGACAGGCAAACAGACTGATACCGTGATATATCATACCAATACCGTCTATCCAGGGCCCTTATTCTTCTTCAAAATTTTCTATGGATGTAGGCTGTGTTAGTGTGGTGTGGACAGTGTAATACGCCCTGTGGTTGTGGGCCGTGTTAGTGTGTGTGGACGGTATAATAGGTTCTGTGGTTATGGGCCGTGTTAGTGTGTGTGGACAGTGTAATACGCCCTGTGGTTATGGGCTGTGTTAGTGTGAGTGGACAGTATTATACGCCCTGTGGTTGTGGGCCGTGTTAGTGTGTGTGGACAGTATAATAGGTCCTGTGGTTATGGGCTGTGTTAGTGTATGTGGACAGTATAATAGGTCCTGTTGTTATGGGCTGTGTTAGTGTATGTGGACAGTATAATAGGTCCTGTGGTTGTGGGCCGTGTTAGTGTGTGTGGACAGTGTAATACGGCCTGTGGTTGTGGGCCGTGTTAGTGTGTGTGGACGGTATAATAGGTTCTGTGGTTGTGGGCCGTGTTAGTGTGTGTGGACAGTGTAATACGGCCTGTGGTTGTGGGCCGTGTTAGTGTGTGTGGACGGTATAAAAGGTCCTGTGGTTATGGGCTGTGTTAGTGTATGTGGACAGTATAATAGGTCCTGTTGTTATGGGCTGTGTTAGTGTATGTGGACAGTATAATAGGTCCTGTGGTTGTGGGCCATGTTAGTGTGTGTGGACAGTGTTACATGTTCTGTGGTTGTGGGCCGTGCTAGTGTATGTGGACAGGGTTACATGTTCTGTGGTTGTGGGCTGTGTTAGTGTGTGTCAACCGTGTTACATGTTCTGTGGTTGTGGGCCGTGTTAGTGTGTGTGGACGGTATAATAGGTTCTGTGGTTGTGGGCCGTGTTAGCGTGTGTGGACAGTGTTACATGTTCTGTGGTTGTGGGCCGTGTTAGTGTGTGTGGACAGTGTAACAGGCCCTGTGGTTGTGGGCCGTGTTAGTGTGTGTGGACAGTGTAATAGGCCCTGTGGTTGTGGGCCGTGTTAGTGTGTGTGGACAGTATAATAGGTCCTGTGGTTATGGGCCGTGTTAGTGTGTGTGGACGGTATAATAGGTTCTGTGGTTGTGGGCCGTGTTAGTGTGTGTGGACAGTGTAATACGACATGTGGTTGTGGGCTGTGTTAGTGTGTGTGGACAGTATATTACGCCCTGTGGTTATGGGCTGTGTTAGTGTGTGTGGACAGTATAATAGGTCCTGTGGTTGTGGGCCTTGTTCGTGTGTGTGGACAGTGTTACATGTTCTGTGGTTGTGGGCCGTGCTAGTGTATGTGGACAGTGTTACATGTTCTGTGGTTGTGAGCCGTGTTAGGGTGTGTGGACAGTGTTACATGTTCTGTGGTTATGGGCCGTGTTAGTGTATGTGGACAGTGTTACATGTTCTGTGGTTTTGGGCTCTGTTAGTGTGTGTGGACAGTGTTACATGTTCTGTGGTTGTGGGCTGTGTTAGTGTGTGTCAACCGTGTTACATGTTCTGTGGTTGTGGGCCGTGTTAGTGTATGTGGACAGTGTTACATGTTCTGTGGTTGTGGGCTGTGTTAGTGTATGTGGACAGTGTTACATGTTCTGTGGTTGTGGGATTTTCGAGTAATGAGCCAATTTGTTTGTATCAGTAATAGA